AAAAAAAAAGAGAAATTCCAGCAGCAGGATTCGAACTCAGGACTTTCCTTTCAGCAAAAGATGTACCCCCCCGGAATACATAAGAAATAATGAAAATAAAAAAACTAAAAAGATGGGACGATTCCCCCGAGACATTCTATGAAGCTGAGGCGGCGAATCGGCTTACGTTACGGTTAGAGATTTCGGCCCTTCCACGCTATCCCGAGTGAACATAAAACTTAGTCTTAACCAAAAGGCCAGGGAGTGAGGGGGTAGCCGCCCACTAGAGCATACCTTTAGCTACCCTCTTAGACCATCGTACTATGAAGACACTTAAGATATCTAGTACCTAATTGGGGTAGTCTATTCGGCGAAGTTCTATGCTAGTATATGACGTCACCAATATCCTTTGGGAATAGCGAGCCAATCAGAGCTCAGTTCAGGAATTAGCAAAGATACAGGGTTTGCATAATCATTCTTCAGTGGATTTATTATTTGATGGGGGGTGGGGGTGGGGATGGGCGCTGCTTTGCGGCCAATGACCGATGTACTCGATGTACTGTGACGGATTTCACCGAGCTGTTCAATTGTCGTTATTGTTTTCCAAATCATCACAGGAAAATTTCTTGTACAGTTTTTATATCAGACAGACATTATTGGTATTCTGATAAACACCACGGCACTCAAATCTCTTGAAATTCTTAACGTAAGTGGTTTACAAACCAGGCAGATATTTGCTGGTATTCAACGGGTTAAAGACTTCTAGAATTTTCCATGCACATTTTCTTTCTTAATATAAAAGTTTACACATTATTGAATATAAATATAGTGAATGATTGAAGAGGATGAATGATAATCCGTACAAAATTGATAAAGAAATCAAGGAAAACTTTGCAAGCTTTCGGTTTTATTGCAAAACTATAATCAAGCGTATGATTTTAAAACATAGATGTAAATGAAATGTTTTTGATAATAAAAACATTTTATCGAAGAAAACGTTCGAGAGTCAACAGATACAGAACGATGTCTTTGATTACAGCTAAATTTAAAGCGCTAAGGACCGCTCCATGTCGTGGGTAAAAATCCCTTTTCCGAATCTTTCACATGGATATGTTTACTGTAGGCAGGGAAATAGCTAGAGTGCCCAACGGGAGGAATGATCAACCTTAACCGAATAGGTTCCTTGGCTCCTGAGAATCGCCGTTTGTACTTGTGTGTTCATAGGCAACGTCATGGTTGTTCGCCAGCCCACGTAATTTTTTTTATTTCTCAGCGCTTAGATCTGAGCTGTACTACAGCTAAGCGATTTATAAATTAACATTATTATTATTAGATTCGAGTGGTATAATTAACCTTGAAATGGGTGAAACGTCACAATCCNACTTATAGAAATAATATCTAATTGGGGTAGTCTATTCGGTGAAGTTCTATGCTAATATATGACGTCACCTAAATCCTTAGGGAGCAGCGAGCCAATCAGAGCTCAGTTCAGTAATTAGCAAAGATAAAGGGTTTGCATAATCATTCTTCAGTGGATTTATTATTTGATGGAGGGTAGGGATGGGTGCTGAGTGCTGGTTTGCGGCCAATGACCGATGTACTCGATGTACTGTGACGGATTTCACCGAGCTGTTCAATTGTCGTTATTGTTTTCCAAATCATCACAGGGAAATTTGGTGTACAGTTCTTGTATATCAGACAGACATTTTTAGTATTCTGATAAACACCACGGCACTCAAATCTCTTGAAATTCTTAAAGTGGTTTACAAACCAGGCAGATATTTGCTGGAAACACAATTAAAGACTTCTAGAATTTTCCATGCACATTTCATTATTGAATATAAACATAGTGAAGAGGATGAATGATAATCCGTACAAAATTGAGAAAGATACCAAGAAAACTTTGCACTTTGCAGGCTTTCCGCGGTTTTATTGCAAAACTATAATCAGGCGAATGATTTTAAAACATGGATGTAATGAAATGTTTTGATAATAAAAACATTTTATCGAAGACAACGTTCGAGAGTCAACAGATACAGAAAGATGTCTTTGATTACAGCTAAATTTAAAGCGCTAAGGACCGCTCCATGTCGTGGATTAAAATCCCTTTTCCGAATCTTTCACATGGATATGTTTACTGTAGGCAGGGAAATAGCTAGAGTGCCCAACGGGAGGAATGATCAACCTTAACAATAGGTCCCTTGGCTCCTGAGAATCGCCGTTTGTACTTGTGTGTTCATAGGCAACGTCATGGTTGTTCGCCACGTGATTTTTTTTATTTCTCAGCGCTTAGATCTGAGCTGTACTACAGCTAAGCGCCTTTATAAATTAACATTATTATTATTAGTTTCGAGTGGTATAATTACAATTAACCTTGAAATGGGTGAAACGTCACAAGCCGTCATCAATAATATATTGCAGTTAATCATACAGTCGAATATCATGGAATACATTGATCCACATTRTCATTGCGGCACTAATTAACTCAGCCTTGAAAACAGCAATCTCTTCCTTACTATKATGAGCATTACAACAAGATTTTTGCTTATTTTGCTTCTTGGTCTTCRCATCAAGAACGCTAGTGGAAATCAAATATCTTTTAAGAATGGTGACTTTGTTGTTAGCTGGAATCGCAGCTCTGATGAGATCGAGTTCACAATCAAGGCCAAAACAACTGGTTGGTTGGCATTGGGAATATCTAAAGAGAACACACAAATGCAAAATATCGATTTATTTGTTGGAAAATACCAGAATTCTGCCCCTAGCGTCGAGGTAAGACTTCAACAACAGTGTATTCTTATAGTTCAGTTGCTTGGTGTAGAACTTATACTGAAACTTTATTTTGGCAAAATGTTGTCCCTATATAGCTCTTGAAAGACTAGTTCGCGCAGTTTGGTCATATGATTTTAAAAAAGCTAAGCAAATAAACGGATCTGATTTAGATTTAAAATGAGGCTTCAAAAATCGAAAATTACTTTTTTTGACAAAGATATAATTTAGTTTTCAATGCACTTTTTGTAGCTCGAACGCAAAATATAAGGTGAGGTACAGTTGGCTTTTCTGTCGTAAAAACAATTCAATAACCAGCTATGCCTGACCCAATGGTTTTCTTTGCCAGTGCCTTTCCGTAGCGTTTTTTTTCTGCGAGTCTCTAAATATAAATACCATTCAACTAAAAATAAGGACGTAAAGAGGAAATGATTTAGTGTTAACATTGTAGATGTCCAAATTTGGTCTGTTCTGAGTAGGAATGAGCTTGCAAGCGTTAAACAATTTTTCAAACTGTCAAAGTTTTATAACAAGAACGGGTTAGCAATTAATTTGGTATGGAAATAGAGGACTTGGGGGAAAGTGTTCTTTGAAGACTGCTTTTTTAATATAACTAAGTATCAACCACGTATCATTGGTTTATTTATTGGTTTATTACAAGAAATGATGGTTAATTCAAACTCTACATCTGTATGATGCTCCACCCAGGGAGTGTGCCCCTCCTTGAAGAAAAACCCTGGATCCCCCCTGCCCAAATTTGTTTGATCATTTCAAAGCTCATTCTTTTTTATGTATGGCCAAATGCCTTCAAACTTCAACAATATCCAACACCATCAAAATAAGGTTGGGTAATTCAACGGCCTGAAAGTGTTCTATTCTTGATTTAGGACTACTTCTCAATTTCTCAAAGAATGCCGGATTTGGACTCTCAACAAAATGTTATTCTGATCAGCGGCAGTGAAGACAATGGTTTTACAACAATTATCTGCAAGAGAAAACTAGCAACTGGCGATGRGAAAGATATCAAAATCGAGGTACTAGAGAACGCCCTAAATCCGTGGAATTGTACAAAAATTAAAATAACACAAACGGTTTGCTCTAAATATCTGCATCTGAACTATTTTCTTATGGACAAGATTTAATAAGCTGAACAAAATATAGTACAAAGAGGTTTTTTTGCAATTTCACGGTTTTGCTGTGTTCAACCCAAATTCAGTTACAACCCCGTACAGAAAAAAAGGCAATTTTTAGTTTTGATACCAATTATATATGTTAATAATTCTATAAATAATCTTATAGCCTGGATCAAAGTACTATTTAGCGTGGGCATACGGTACATCAGAMAGCTTACAATATCACTTCTCGACACGAGGTTATAGTTCAGCCATGATAGAACTAGTACCACCACCACCACTGACTACTTCATCAATGACGTCATCACTATTACCTACGTCATCATCCATGTCCCCATCGCCAACGTTACCAACGCCAACACCGACGTCATCCCTGGCGTCATCTTCAAAATTTACCTCGTCAGTGTCGATGTCACAGCCAACGTCACCAACGCCAACATCGACGTCATCCCTGACTTCATCGTCAAAGTTTATCTCGTCAGTGTCGATACCATCAACAGCAGCTCCATCGCCAATCTTCTCTTCATCATCATTGATGTCATCGCTAGTATCATCGACGTCATCATCAGGACTTCCATCTTCACCAAACATAGTGACGTCATCTTTGGTATCAACTTCATCTGCAATGACGTCATCAGTCCAATCAAAGTCTTCAATATCATCATCTACGTCAATACCAGTGTTGGCAACAACTTCTTCTGTAATGACGTCACCACCTACGACGTCAACTCCAGTTTTTGTTGAGTAAGTTTTTATACACTGGCATGCAGCATTAATTAAATTTAAAAGATTATAAGTATATGGGGACAGGAAGCCCGACAGGAAAAAAGTCTGCAAGGAGATTAAATGTTTTAATGTATTTCTTGTTTTGAATATCAGCAAACTTGTCTTCAATAATGGTGGCTACAACGTGTCATGGAAGTACGATTCACAAAATAAAGAAGTCATTTTTACTCTCACAGTAAAAGCAACTGGTTGGATTGGAGTTGGGATTTCGGACGTGAACTCGGGCATGCATCAAATGGATGTCGTGGTGGCCTGGGTCGACTCAAATGGACAAAATCATATCAAGGTTTGTTTTGCAGCTAATTTAGTAACAAAACAGAGACAAACTACCGACAAGGTACCGACAAACTACCGACTGAAAAAAGGCTACCGATGAGTTACCGACAACCCTCCGATCGTGAGCAATCGACGGTAAATGAGCTCACTCAAAAACTATAGACCCCTTACGTAGTTCATGGGAATGCAGCTCTAACTAATAATAGATTCTATAGTTCACAAGACGACAAAAATATTTTGTTTTGTTCTCGGCTAAACGATGACCTAACGAAACGTTCCGGATAAAACACCGAAATGCATCCGATAGCTTTCCGTATACAATGAAGTTACTAGTAAGTTGATTTGTCGTAGGACTTCTATGCCAATGCGACGGGAAGACCGAGTAGAGACGGGGATCAAGATGCAAGTCTTTTGAATGGAATGCAGAAATCAGGTATAACAACCATTGAATACAAGAAAAGCATTAAAACAGGAGACAGCAACGATATTGAACTCGTGGTAAGATTAAACATTGAATACCTAACTGTACACAATGTAATCATATTAATGCGTTCTCTGATTAGTGCACCGGATAATCATCATCATTAATAGATAACAACGAAACTTTAACCAAKTGAGGTTCCAAGACCATCCATTTTGCAGGATTAACTTAATTTTCGTTGTTTTCGATCGTGTGATCTGGGATTACTATTCAAAGTTGATCTTTCTCCCTTTGGCTTCGAATTTGACAAAGCTTTATTTCGCTATCTGTTCAATGATTTSAACGAAACATGAGAGTTTTGTCTTTCATTACAAAACAGTCAATTACCAAAATATCTGATGTTTTATTCATCATTATCAGGATATATGAGCCCATGCACTAACAACCAAATCATAAACGAATCCTTACACGATGCATTCATAGTTGATAGTGGCTTTCTCCGTAGAATCTTTGAAACGAACGAGTGGATAGATAAATAAAACGGAAAAAGGGAAAAAAGGGAAAAGGTGTTGGTTGCTAATCGTCCTTCATGGCAGCACGGGTGCTGAATTGCGAAAGACGCAGCTCGACGCGCTTTCAAGTCGAAGTGCTATATTACAGACACATTTTACATACACTTACACATAGGCGTGCTGCCGGCTAGGCGCTTCCTTTACATAGCAACGAACGACTGAACGCGGAGCACAGCAGATAGAAATGGTTCGTTTTTACTGAGGGAGGAAAACCCGGAAAGACCCGGAAAAACCCTCGACGCAAGGGAGAGAACGAAAGAAACTCAAATCACATTTGGCGCCCCGACCGAGATTCGAACAGGGTCCACAGAGGTGACAGGCCAGCGCTCTCACCGCTCGGCCACCCATGCGTCCCAAAACAAAAATGAATGAATTAAAAAAATGAAAAAATAAGAAAATGATGCAATTGATGGATATTTTATAAAAAAGAACAAATTACAAAATAAATAAATGAATGCTCATTCTTATTGATTTAAATGTAGTAAAGTACATGGAAAAGAAATGCATGTTTTCCTAAAAAGAAGAGGATTGTAACGAAAGAGTTTGAAGAACCGAGTGTCACGCTTTTCGAACACAATGCATAATAATGTCACTTTTTTCAGCCAGGAAAGTCCTACTACATTGCATGGGCGTATCACCTCACAAGTGATGACTTCGTAATACACACGAAGCGTGGCTACAGTAAACAAAAGGTTGTCATTGTACCAAGTGAACGACCGACAACCAAACCGACAACCGCCAAACCGCCCATTCCAAAAACTGGCGCATCTAAAGAATCGTGTACAATATCTGTCGTAGTGTTTGCCTTTGCTATAGCAATGATGGTACAATGAATATTAAGCGCGTCCATAATGTTCAAGTTGCGACTGAATGGTTTATTAAGGCCCGTTTACACCTGCGATTTTTGCAGAGCGAAAATCTTCTGAGCAGGACTGTGTAAGATTTGAGTTGCGCGATAGCAAAGTGGCGATTATCGCGCTGCAAAAATCGCAARTGTAAACGGGCCATTAAAGAGACTAAAAATCATCGAAAATGCGTAGAAGAGACCRAGGCATATGAAGTAATTTTATTCACCTTGAGAACATCTGCAGAGATATTGTGTTTGTATTTCGTGCAGGMCTTTTTCAAGATTTTGCTATAAACTTTAAGGATAGTATTCTCCTTGTAAAAAGACAAATTCGAAAGTTAAATTGAAATAATCCTTAGTGCATGCAAACTTAGCGAGCGTGACTGCTGCCAAGTAGAGACAGATGCTCTAAAACAAACCAAACCGTTAAAACTATTGCCACTTATCAGTGAATGTGATGTACTTKCAATGATTTTTGACATTTGTTGACTTTTGGTAAATTAGAAATATGACATTTCAGTTGGACAAAATAATTGAATGTAAAGAATCAAAACTTTAATCTTTGATAGCTCAATTCAGGTGGTTATAGTGTACACAAGTTCTAACATCACTAGAGTGAACACATTTAATCCGTGAAATTGTACAAAATAAATTAAAGATAGCACGAAATTGCACTAAATCTGACAATGAAGCAGAACTGCTTTTGAATCACCATCGTTCTTTAGAGCATGTTAGAGTGATCGCATATCACTCTAGTGATATTTAGTTGTATTTAGTAAATCTTGCATGTAGTACGCAAATTAAATTGAATTGATACAAATGAAGCATTCAACACCGTCTTGCTTCAGGTCGACTTTTAGTGCAAATTAGTACAACTTAGATTTTGTACAGTTGCGCAATCTCTTGTACGATCAGTCGATCGGAACATCATTTATTGCACAAAATAGTACAAAGAGGTTACTCTACAAATGTTTGAAACAAAACTTTATGCTGACTTATGGTATAGTTTTCCATGACAACTCGTCCAGCACATCCTCCTTAAATTACAACTGATTGTAAGTCGGGTGGGGTTGATATCTAAGTAATAAAATATCTGTATTACTAACTTCGAGCATCATAGCTTAATCCAAATGACGTTATTGGATCACAAATCTATTGAATAACAAACATAGACCTCATATTATTATTTCAATTAATTTTTAAAAAAATATGGACCTCATGTGGTAAAATTAAGGTTTTTCCTTTCGATTTCACCATTTCATTGTTCTCGTTACTGCAACACCTAATTTGCTGTTATTTGGTTTAAATATTTCTGAATGGTCTATACATAAAGCTTGAATCGATATCAGGTTTTAGATGATCATGGCCTTTCTATCATAACGAAACCGCAATTTATCTAAAAAKCTGGCTCCTGGAAACTTTACTTTCCACGAACGTGAAAGCTTCATTTCATTGAAAATAAGTTTAAAAAGAATTTAATTTCAAATATCATTAGATTTATCATAGTTGAATCTAAGAATCAATATTTGCTTATCTTTACATTTTCTGTTGCACTTGATTTTCATCATGACAGTTCATCTTTTTCTTTGCGCTTCCTGTGTCAATATAACATAGTGACTTGTAATAAAATTCAAGCCCAGCGTCTATTCTTAAATGTATTATACTGAAATCATTGTTGGGTAGTTGCGTTTGTTAATTTGGTGTATTGTTCTCATACACAACGCTATTTTCGGTGAGATTGAAAAGAGTCAACAARAGTTTGGATGGCATTGAAGGTCCAACTCAATTTTTTTTTTTTTTTTGATAAGAGATCTTTTCGAGATATTCATTGATCCCACAAGCTACTATACATTACATGATGGTAGCAGGGCTGTGCTRAGCCTGTTTTATAATAGCTCCTTAAAGAAAGGAAACTTGTTTGTTTGGATTATTCTGACAGCGTAATAGTTCTTCCTTAAATACATTACCGGCCCAGGATATATTATGCATTAAGAGACTTTAGTACAAGCCCTGAACACCTGGCTTCAGTCCAACACAGTTATTGACTACCAAACACCATCATTGCTTCTGTTGACAAGACTACGAAGTTTTCTGGTTGAGGGCTTTGCTTCGCATCACTTCAAAAACGTGAGTATGATATACTAGTCGAGAATTTTATTACGTTGTTTTTCGATCATTTTGCACCATAAAAAAATAACTAGCACTACAACGCCTCACTTAGGATAGCATGGGGTAGCAGTATATTGCTCATTTGATCTTTGGTGGGAACTAGCGGTAAACTAGTGTGAGCTGCGTCGGTGTTTCTAAAGAAACAGTTGTGTAAAAAGATAAATTTAACACCGAAAAAAAGTATGTGAAATAACTTACTGACGTTTCGGACGTTAATCCTTCGTCGGAGTAAAGAGATGGAACCATTTGATCTTTGCCTACCACTTTTGTTTGAAGATATTTGGGCAATCGGACTCTATTGTTAGTAAAAGGATCAGAGATGTATAACCTTTCTTCAATCTTGAACGATCGAGTTTATTTTGAAAACACACACACAACAAAAAATTGAGCAACAACAACAAAAACTTCAACAAACTATGTTCGGGCTACAACCTGCAACAGCTGCGTGATGAACGCACTCACCGCACCAAAACAATTGTAATATGTGTATGATAGAAGTACATGTATGGCATGATACAAAACAATGTAACACGGCAAAGGTACGACAAATAAATGAGGTGTTGATAATAATGATGATGATAATGATGATGATGATGATGATGATGATAATGATAATGATGATGATAATAATGATGATAATGATGATAATGATGATGATGATGATGATGATGATGATGATGATTTTTCAGGTGCTGTTGAGTCATGGGTTCTAATATCACATCGCATGCTGTTAACCTGACTGACAACAGCACACAAAGCTTCGCCCCCTTTTACCCACCATTCCGTCCAAATCAGAACCTCACAGATATCGAGATCCAACTTGCATTGTTCGGCGTCATGTCCTTCATCGCCATTATATTAAACATCCGGGCACTTGTGATACTRAACAAGAGATGCAAGACKGTCCCGTATGTACTGCTACAGAACATCGCAGTGGTTGATCTTCTGACTCCTATCATGACAGGACCGTTCTTTATGTTCGGTTTATTGGAGCATAAGATTGGTGCATATATCCCAGTAATATGTAACATACAAGGCTTCTTTCATGCTACTTTGTGCACTGTTTTTGTTAACAGTGTGTCMCTGATTGCAATGAGCAGGTATTGGGCAAGTTCGAGGCCAGCAACCTACCACAGAATCTTTCCTAATAAGGTAAGTAAGGGGTTTTCTAAGAATGCTATCATACGCGCTATCTATACCGTTATATCATTACTACTCCATCAATTATCATCAGCATCATCATCATTTGTATCACATTTACTCTGCAATTATTGCCATCATAATCATTTCTAATATATCATTACTATCAAAGCAATCATCGTTGTCATTATCATAATCGGTGCCGTCGTAACAGTCTTAACGTTTCTCTTCAACTTAATATTTCTTTTGCATCAGGTTAACGTCCGCATTCTGTTGCTAGCACTTTGGTCATCCAGTRCACTGATATGCGTACCCCCCCTGAATAAATGGGGCRCCTACAGAAGATATGACGGAACGTGTTGGCTGGCTTGGTTACCTAAGGAGCGAGGTTACATGGCTTATAAYGTCAYTATGACATTGTTGSAAGTGCTTGTCGTGAGCTATTCGTGTCGTAAGGGTTATACAGCTGTGAAAAATGTCAAGAAAGTTGCTGCCACAGCTTCAAATGTAAGCATACTCTTGAAGAGGCAGAACACATTCTTTGCGCGCTTTCCGAGCGCTTACTCGGTTTTGGGAAATACTTGTGTAGCAAACTAAGTGAATTTGTCGATCTAGTCTTCATGTTTTTTATTTCTTTACAAAGCTATTAAAAGTATGAAACATGATGATATCGAACATGTCTTTTATATTTAATACTTTTTTCAGCGTCACCAACAGTTACGCGAAGAAAACGGCCACAGTCCCGAATCACCTCCGACGGTAACCCGAATAAATACCGACGTCTTCTTCGTGGCATTGGCTCAGCTGTTCGTGTACATCGYCCTATGGGTACCCCTGACRGTCATGAATGGGTACTTTCTGAAAGACTGGAGGATTGTCGACTTYCGTATCATCATATCTTTTCTTTTCTTGTTYTTCTCGCGATCGATTTTGAATCCAATCATWATGTTCGGCCTCGGTGATGACATAACTTGCAACGGTCGTGTAACGCGCCTTGYTGATAATATTAATGTGGAATTAGAGGAGCTATGAGTTTACAATCACATAAATGTACGTGCATTGATTGGCTTAGAAGCCGGCAGTAGTTTTGTGCAGTATATGGATTGCATACATCATTATTAGACCTTTTAGATTGGCAAGATCAGACCAACCAGGGGGGGGTGGAGGGTACAGGGAATAGTTCCAGATCCCCCTTTCTGGTAATTGGCAAAGACTTTCGTGATATGCTTTATTTACAAAATCAAAAACGCTGGAGACTAGGGCAACTTATTTGTAAAAGGAGAAAGAAACAGGATGAACAAACTCACTTCTTAATGACCGATTTAATCTGACTCAAAACAATATTTGATTTCAACACTTTATTTCATCTCATAATATTTTAAACATATTTTCACATTATTCAATATTACAAAATACTTAAACCTAAAAGTCTAATTTAAACTATTCTTACGTAAATTTTAAATGTTTTACTACTTCATACTTTTATGGTTATTGTTCCTTCTCATAAATCTATTTCAAGTTTTTATTTTTATTTTTTTTTAATTTCTGAGCTAAATTTCTATTTGATCTGAGAGTAAAATACATTTAAGTGCACATCTAAGAGTGGCTTTTATAAACTCACAAGTTTAAGAAAACCAGTCTTTTGTCAATTTACGATTTGCACTTCACAGTGTGATAGATATAATAGTGTAGCTTGTGAAATGACTTTTGGTGTTAATATATGTAACAATTAACGATATGATTTGTTCAGAAATGCAAATAGACAATACACAAACTTATAGACAGACATAGTTAGTAAGACAGGCAGACAAACGTAGACATATAGTCTGGCAGAAGTCCAATTCAAAACTAGTGGCAGTTTTTCCCCAAAAAAAGAAAGAAAAAAAATTAGTAGAAAAAGGGATAAACAAACAACAACCAACATTAGAGACAAATATGCTCCTCATGTAAAAAATAAATTCTCTACCTTTAAAAAATTATCAAATATTAACAAGTATTGACTACAAAAACTAAATATTCAAACAAAAATTAAAGCGTGGATTTCACTAGCGCATAAGCATAAGCATGAGCACAAGAAAAACGAGCAAGGCTTGATCTTCTTGTGCTTATCTCATGCTTATGCTCAGTGAGAACGGGACTGCATAGGCATAAGGGTTAGGGTGCGCATGCTCAATGTCTTATGCTTATTCCAAGCCTGTTCTCACTGACTCTCTTGCTTGTGCTTATGCCTAAGCTTATGCGCTACTGAAATCCACGCTTAACTAACTTCAAATGAAAGAATAAAATATGATAATAATATGCTAGGCAATATACCTATTGTATGGTTTATATCAGATATTAAAATCACAATTTAGCAAATAATTGTCATATAAGCATTTATCATGAATTAAACTTTGAAATTTAATAACGTTATTWTTCTAAATTTGCGAACATCACAGAAAGTATGTATTTTACTTTTTTGGTGTTTATCTTGTTTTTCTTTTCTTTGTTACGTTAAGACGAGGTGATCTTCTAGGATATTGTGTACGAGTWACWGGGGTTCTTCTCTCTGTCTCCTCTGTTTCTGCTTTTCTCTTACGCAGTGTTTTCCCTGGTGRTGGCTTTGTAGGAGTCTGTTTACTGGATTTGTTTCTGGTGTKTGATCTTGTTTTTCGTTCAGGTGTCTTTTCCTTAGATTCATCTTCCTCTGATGGTTCTGAGGGTTTGCTTTCTTCCTTGTCTTGTTTATCATCGACCTCTTTCTTTGCATCACTTATCTCTTGTGTCTCATTTTCTTCTATTTCTTTCTTTTCTTTTTCAATTTCTGTGCTCTCTTTTTCAGTTAGATCATCATCCTTGGCAGTTTTATCATTTGAACTATCAACTTCTAATATCTTACTTTCTTGTTCTTTTGACTCTTCATTTTCAGGTTTTTCTGTCTCTGTTTCCATTGCTTCAATTCCCTCATTCTTAGTTTTATTATCCTTCATTTTTTCTGTCTCATTTTCCAATTCTTTCTCTTCTTCTAATTTCACTTCATTTTCATTTTCTTTAGTCTCATTCTCCACCTTTTCAATTTCATCTTCCATCTTTCCACTTTCTTGCTTCTCCACAGCCTCTTCATCATTCTCATTGTTTATTTCCATCTCTTTTGTTCCCATTTTCTCTATTTCACACTCTTTTTCATTCTCTTTTTCATGGATTGCTTTTTCTACCTCCTCAKTGTCCTCTGTCTTCCCATTAGTTTCCAGTCCTCTATCGATCACTTTCTCACATACAGTTTTATCTACTGGAGCCTCTAAGATGGCATCAGAAGGAAGAGAAGCAGAAGGCTTTAGATCAGTGGTTTTGGTTAAAGTTTCTTCAAAGTGCAAACCATTTGATCCTGTTGTGTCTAATGTTGATGTTTGSGTCAAGGCGGAGCCAACACTTGGTTCTTCATTGGTGGAGGTGGAATTTTCAACTTTTTCRCCACAGCAGTTGGTTGCATGCTTGGTTTCAWTGTTGACRGTGTTTGATGTGCAGGAACAAGAGTCAGTAAGTACCTCATCAGTCTCCGTCCCTGTGCTTACTTTTTCTTTAGGAGGACCTATCGGCATGGGTGGGAAGGGTGATGTGTGGGTGGGGACATGAGTTACTGGCGTCATGCAGGTTGCAGTACACTGAAATATAAATTGCAATTAACTGTTAATAAATTATCATTATAATTAATTAATATACATTTATAATTCAATAATCTCACCCTTGACCATGTTTCTGACATGAACTTTTCCCCAGTCACTACATTGTATTCAAACAAGATATTCCCACATTTGCACTGATAAAAATCCCAGTCTGGACCTCTAGAAGACATGATCACCTACAAGRMAATGAATGGTTTCTTTGTTACTAGAGTAATTGCATCAAACACTGAGYCTCTAGAAGACATGATCAACTCCACAAAAATGATTTCTTTTCATAATATTCTGCAATCTAAACACGAGCAATTTTTCGCTTGCGCAGGYGGCGCAATTTKCTCAAAATCACCAGCGCACGATGTGGCTACACGAGCAACAATGCTGTATCGATAAAAAAATCCTCACAAATACTTATTTCAATCTCCAAAAAGAGGTATATGTACAAAAACAGCTCAAATTTAATGTTCAGCTTTCATTGTATCCAAAAATCGTGTTGCATGCRCAAKCAAAAAATCACTTKTGTAGCTGCTGCTTAAAACTCTAGAAAACAAAATTATAACAAAAACAGACCCCCAAAAATAATAATTAAATAAACAACAACAAATAAACAAACAAGTTTTTATGTTAGCTTTTTAAAAACAAAAAAATATAAACAATTCTGAGCAAATTTATCATAAATATTTCAGCCTTGTAAGAAATTTGCCTTGAAATTTGTGTATTCACACGTCGCTTTTATTTACAGGATTCGAACACATGTGGTGTTATAAGCTCACTACAAAGACGAAGGCTTTTGCCAAKAACTCCGCAAAAATACTTCTTGGAAAAATATTACACCATGATCTTTAAGGATGCGAGCTTATAGTAATAGAAAAGACAAAATATCGTGTAAAAAGATTGTCAACTGTTTGCTAATCGTTTSTTGTTTTCACTTACGAATTTACCAGACATCACATGGCATTAATTCATTCAGTCGTTTATTGTAAGAGATAGATATCCTGATCTGCRGGAAATGCTTCCCAATTGAATCCAAAAACATCTAAACCCAAACTAAAACAGAACGCCAAAGCCCAAAAAGGTAAGCTTCATCTTAAACTGCTCACTTAACTGYAAAACGCTGAGATCAAATCGTCAACAAAAGCCGGATGCGATGGATTGTCTGCGCAATGAACTTCATCAAAAATAACTTATATTTTATCAAAATACTCGACTATTTTCAATCGAAAACCTTGCAATACTTTGCTACACATATTATAGACATAGTACATAAGGATGCTTACCGGAAAATTGAAGAAAACAGCGGGAATTGTCCTTGTTTTTGAAGAAAATGTCTGACTGAAATCTAAGTCCTTTTCTTGAGGAATGATTCCCAGTCCTCGCGCAGTGGTGAAAGAACAGGAAGACCACACATCAATTCAAGTATTTTCCACTTMATTRCGGAATTTCATCAAGACAACCAAGTGTAGCGATAATTCTTTMTTTATTTCATAATTCACCCTCCTAGTATTATTTTACAACATGTCCGATCGTTAATTAGCCACAATTACCTGTTTTCCTAGCAGTAAAAGTCGAGCAATATATATTTATTACTATGTCAGCAAAGCTATTTTTTTAGTGGAAATTACCAACGCTGCACCCTTAGATAGGTGTTCGTATAGATATTGTTAACTTTTACAGTAATTTTGATGTTCTAGAAGTGATTCTAGTATTTCTCAGGATTTTTTCATTTATAAGAGTTAGTGGAAATATTATGCAATGGATGTACATCAATGGCTTAGAAACCCCACGACCTCTAAGTCCCAACCCACAAAACATCTTGTGTTGTAATACTGGATAGTGAACCCAAGTTTCATGTATATAACGAACCCATATCCGGTGTATTTTAAGCCGATTTCCAATCTAAAATATCATATACAAATAATATATTCCTATCCCACACATTCCCATCATGCCTCAATATATATCCCATGATTCTTAGCTGTCGGACTATCAATAACCTTGACACTGATTCTACGTACGTACGTACTTACGGAATGCCGTTCCAGCTATACGCAAACCCTCCTTAACAAGATGTTTTTTCGAAGCGTTTTTGCATTGTTTTTTTGTTCCCTTGCGTAGAGCTAATTACACAAAAACGGCACGAAAACGAAACGGTTTTCATGGAAAACAAATATGGACATCTTATCATTGAAAAAGATATGGTGCAGAACTCCACCATTCACTCAGATATCTGAGTCTATCCCTCCCCCTTTCAAAACAAATTTTCAGTTTTAAATAGCCGACTAGTATAATCTAACATAAAACTCTAACCCCACCTGACCTACACAAAGACATAAGGACCTGGGAACGAGATTAAATGACGTAGAATGCCTTTCATCAACGCGTGAAATGAATATTTACACTCTCTTTCTGTTTTATTATTTTCGTTTCACGGTTTTATGAAAACCACTCCATGATAACTAAAAATGAGAAAAATAAATAAATCTAATCATAAATATTATACAATTATTATCTATATATTATGATGATTCAGTCGATTTCTCATCCTTTTTATCTTCTTCTTGTTCCTCGGTTTTACCGGCGCCATCTTGAATGTCTTGGGGATCCRCAGGGTCATCTTTCCKGTCATCTGCRTCCACCTGCTCTAACGGAATGTAGTTCCCCTGCTCTTTCTGACGTTCTCCTTCTACACTGTGATGGATGCCATAGAAGAAATATATACTCATTCCTGAGAATGGAAAAGGAAACAAATAAGAACACAAAGTAAAAATGACAGAATGGGAATGAATAAGAAAACACTTTTTTGCATGCAGAGTTTTCTCCTGAAAATACCGAATGTAGCGCTGAATAACAGAGAAGGTAAGATGTAGAAAGTTTGAAAATTATTTACTTTTAGCATTGAGTAACTATTAATATTAGGGATGCTTGACGTAGTTTGCAAGGCATCATGGGAATGTACCTTCCCATGATGCCTTGCAACAGGATGAGATAAGACTGGGGACGAATGAGACTCTTACCAATGACCATCCAAATACAGAACCTAACCCACGTGACTGAACTGAGTTCCATCATAAGATAAATATTGACAAACATGGAAACAAGAGGAAGCCACGGAACTAAAGGAACTTTGAAAGGAATCTTGACTTTGCTTTCTGGTTGACGAACTATTAMTACAATTCCTGACAACAGAACTAAACCCAGGACCACCATGACGACCCATGCCCAGGTCTCCCCGTTCATTAGAGACACTATRCCGTAAATAAGAAATGCGCTAAGTATAAAGTAATAAACAAAAAGTGTTGCGATTGTATATTTCGCGATATTGCCTGACTTTTCAGTCGGCTGTTTTAACGCAGAGATGTCTGAGCCCTCGGTATCATTGTCCTGCTGTTTGTCTACCGTGACTCCTATAGAGTCAGGTTGGAAGCGAAGGATCAACACGCAAGTCGACACGATGGTGTACGCCTGAAGTGTGCCTATGGACATCATTTCAACTAGCTCCTGGAGCTCAAAGAGCATTGCAAGGATTGCTGCGAGAAGCCCTGAGAAAAGTGTCCCCACTAAAGGTACTTCGGTCTTTTTACTGATGTAAGAAAAGATCTTAAAAATCAATCCATCGCTTGACATGGCGTAGAGTAGACGAGGTAATGGAAAAAGACCGCCATTAATGGCAGCTGTCATWCCGCAGAGAGCKCCGATGGCTATGACGTACTGTGCAAAGCCAGCCCCGCGTTGCGCAAAGGCTTTCGGGAGAGCAGCACCATATTCCAACTCATTATAAGGAACTATTAAGGTTATGGCCGCCGTGACTCCAAAATACGCAAAAAAACAAACTAACAAAGATATCACAATTGCAATTGGGATGGTTTTGCTTGGGTTTTTGGCTTCTTCTCCAGTCGTAGCAATCACGTCAAAGCCAACAAACGCGAAAAATGCTGTAGCAGAGCCGGCCAATACCCCCGATGTACCGTACGGCATAAAACTATCCCAGTTCTTTGGTTCAGCGATAGTAGCACCAACGCCAATAATAACAGCGATGACACCAATATTGACACATGTTATAACACAGATGAATCGTGTTGATTTCTTGACTCCCGTGAGCTGGATTAAAGTGATCAACATACAGATCGAAAACGCTAGTAAATCAGGATAGTTACCAAGTCCACCAACTTGTATTGTGCCAACATTATTCACGATGTAATTACGTATTCGGTCATTTAATATCGAGTCAAAGTACGCACTCCACGCCCTTGATATTGCCGCTGCACCGATCATGTATTCTAGAACTAAATTCCATCCGATAATAAATGCCATTATTTCTCCAATTGTCACATAGCAGTAGATATATGCAGATCCTGTCTTGGGTACCCTGGCACCAAACTCTGCATAGCAAAGACCAGATAACACAGAAGCTATACCAGCTATTAGGAAAGAAAGAATTGCAGCTGGGCCTGCAACATCACGAGCTATCTCGGCAGCGACCACATACACCCCTGCACCGAGTGTTGATCCTACCCCAAGAGCCGTAAGGTCAAGAACGTTCAGACATCGGGATAGTTCCGTATTTCCGATCGTTGTCGGGTCGATAAATTTCTTCCTTGCCAGGGCCTTGAGGCACGACATGGCGGTCTTTTTTTAGACTCTCACCCTAACATTAGTTTCAATGTGGAAAAGAAAAAGCGTTGTAATTTTGTTATGAGAATGTCTCTCTTATTACGGAATCACGAAATTCTTCGAGAAAGGTGTTTTTTGCTACCTGTCATATTGTTCAGTTTGAGCCAATCACATGGCTGAGTTCTGGTGGTGACTAAATTTGTTTCAGTAAATCAATGACAGCATTGAAAAACTTGTTAGCAGGTTCTTGAGCCTCAATTAATTTAAGAAGTTTAATCTATATTTTTATAAGGCGGACAGCGGAATAGCGAGTTATCGAGCCATTAAAGAACAAGTACACTTGATTGAAAAAATCGSCTCAAGATCTTTTTCAAAGAWTCTTTGCTAAATAAGGTGAAAAGGTAAATCGGYTGAACAGGTTTCGAGTACTTGAGTACAGCCATTTTGAAAAAARGACATCGAACGATATTGATTATTTTGTATAGATGAAGTTAACTTAAAATAGGACTCGATTATTATAAATTTATACATTGATAAAAGGTGAAATCAACACAAAACAAAATAAAGAAATCAGTATCTTCAATCTCTTATTTATGGAAATTGTTTTTCATAAAATTCACTCCGACTACAATGAACCGAAACAGCAAGTTTTCTATTYAACAATTTACGATCCTATATAATTATCATTTTAACAAATGCTTTTGTTTTAATTTCGTGAAAATATTCAATTACAAATCTGCAATATCATACAAAGGACAAAAAGGAGTTTAGATGAGTGAGATTTTGTAAGAACACTTCTTAGTTGTTTCTTTTCATAAATCTTATTCAAAATTAATCAAATTTGCAATCAACTCAGAACTTACAATTTTTTCCGTGTTGATGTTGGTGAAAATAAAAGATAAAATATGAATTTATYAATAAGATACAACCATTTCTTAATTCCTAGCGAGAATTTGCTGTTAAGAGTTAATTAAAATTCAAATATTCACCGAAACTCTCCAACCGTGACTTCCTACAATATCACTACAGCGCATGCGCGTCAGTAATACACAGAAAATCGTATTCCCACTATGTTTACCGTTAAAAAGGAAAAAAATAGTTCCTTTTTTGTAAATAAATAATGTTCTCAAGTCTTAAAAGCGACTATTTTTGAAACTTTAAAACATTTTGATAATTTATGAAAATACCACATGGCTCACAGCGTGAGTAAATTCCCATATAAAAGCAGAAGTTGGAGTATAATAGTTGTGTTGTATGAGCCGAGAGAAGGTTAGCATCTCCCTCGATAAGGACGAGAAAAGTCTTCGGACTTTCAACCTACAACACGTGGTTAAGGCTATGCCACCTACTTAGTGGCATCTAACCATTTTTTGAGAAGAAAAAAAAAAGCAAACATTGAGAAATGGGCCTCTGCGTGTCAAATTACAACCACATCTATTCATCGAGCTAAAATCGTCAAKTTGAACTGGAACTGCTTCAAGAAAAGGAAAAAAAGGAGAGAAAGAAAAGCCAAAAAGGGAGAAATAGCGAAAATAAGAATACTCCAGTTTCGAGATCTTATTTGTGCAGACTTAACCTCGAAAGCATTTAATATATTCTTTTATTCAGCAGAGATCTTATTGTGATGCAAACACTCTGTGTACAAAGAAGACAATCAATTTATGCTTGATTGAAGCTTAAATTTGCACAAAAGAGAATTCGTATTTAAAAAAACTTTTTTTACATTTCTAGTGCCGACTTTGCTAGTGAATCGTAATATGATCGTACTACAATCGTACAATGATCGTACTACAATCGTGATATGATCTTAGTTTTAATAAAGAGCGAATATAGTGTAATTACGCTAGCTGCAGTAATATGCCTGTTTGTTTGGTACTCACCTATCACCATCCACACGGCGAATCTCACCCAAGTCAAGTAAGATAGCTTTAGCATCAAAAATATATTGATAAATATCGACAGTAGAGGAATCCAAGGCACTAGAGGGACCATAAACGGTAGGGGCGTTTCGTTCTTGGGTTGCCGTATCAAATACAGGGCGGTCACTAAAATAAGCACACCAATGAGACACGCCAAGAAAATGGCCCATCCCCGATGCTCCAGTATGGCCCTTCCGCCCCATATAGCCAACGAACCACCGAAAATAAAGAGGAGTGCCTGAACACCTATGCAAATAGCTGCCTTTCGGTACGTTTCGTCTGTGGGTGTCGCGGAAGTRACTGCTGAATCTTTGAGGAGCTTGATTCGTTCTTCTTTGCTGGCGACAGGGACCATATTCAGATCGGACAAAACGCTCATGGTAACACCAATAGTCCCCGGCTTGTATCTTAGCAACAGTACACAAACTGCTACGACTGTATACGCTAAAAGTGTTCCAATGGACATCATTTCGACAAGTTCTTGTAATTCAAAGATCAGTGCTAGGAATGCAGCTAGAAGGCCAGATACTATAGTGGCGACAAGAGGTACCTCGGTCCTAGGGTGGATGTAGGCCAGGGGCTTAAACAGAAGGCCATCATTCGCCATGGCGTAAAATAAACGRGGAAGAGGAAACAGACCACCAATTAAACTGGCCGTCAGACCACAGAGAGCTCCGACAGCTATTACATATTGGGCCCAAGGTGCACCTCTTAGAGCAAACACTTTGGGTAGGGCTCCTCGCTCTGGTAGCAGGTTGTAGGGCCACATGAGRGTGAGAGCGGCTGATACACCGAAATAAGCAACAAAGCAGATCCCTGTAAAACAAGACAACAACAACATATTAATTATTTGMCATGACATTGACATTGAGACRGCGTAYCACTATTCTTTAATTAAATGCTTTCTAATAAATCATCTTTGCCTTCGTTTATGTTGCTACGGGACTAGTCCAGACAAAATTCACGACGTGGAATTAGCAATAGACAACCATCAATCAAAATTTTCAAACAAATTGTCGGCTGCATGGGTGGCTATTGATTGATAACAATCCATTGATAATTTCATAAAGTGTTTTGTGGACWAGTGGTCGCGTAGAAATGCCGTAACGACGATAGTTTTTTCAAGCATCATGCAGTCAGTAACGCCAGCCGTCGTTATATTTAAGTTTAAGTTTTTGGGAACAACTGTTAACACTGACTRTGGGGCCAAAAAAGATAAACAACCGGTGAAAATAGTTATAAAACTATTGCCATGGCGACAACCTCAGACTCTAAGTACAATGAACTGGTTAATTGATAAGCGAACCAGGAAAAAACGGACTTTGAGAAAGTCTATGAACTGGTATAAATTTATTATAGCTGTTGATACATAATTATTATATCGACTTTAATTTGTGGGATAAACATTAAATGGAGAACGTGGATCTTGGAAATAAAAACTTTCCGTGTGACAACCTTAAAATGTAGATTAGCTAGAATTTAAAAAACATATTTTGACAGACTTGGGAAATTAAAACAAAAGGAAAGTCTAGGTCGGCTTTAGCAAATGGAATAATTTTTTTTTAAATCATAGTAATAAATGATAAAATTTAAAGTAAAGACCTAGCATTGAACAATATCAAACCAGAAATCAGACTGTAGCGATATTAGTTTTTCCCTGATATGCGGGAACAAAAGGAGATCTCCGTTAACAGGTGGTTCAACAAGTCCTTACCTAGTGATAAAACGATAGATACAGGAATACTTTTACTCGGATTTTTCGCTTCTTCGCCAGTCGTCGCAATAACATCAAACCCAACGAAAGCATAAAAACACGTGGCGGCCCCAGAAAGGATCCCTGAGACACCAAATGGAGCGAAATCGTTTGTCCAGTTTTGCTTTTTCACGAAATAAAATCCGACAATTGTAATGAACAGAATAACAAATAAATTAATCCATGTAACGACATTATTGAATCGCGAGGAGTTTTTAACTCCAATTGATAAGACAACAGCGATCACTAGAACTAGAGTCAGAGCGAAGAAGTCAGGATAATTTCCTAAACCTGRAACGTGGATTTGTCCGATATTAGCGATAGTAAAATTACGAATACCATCGTCGACAATCGAATCAAAGTACGAACTCCATGCTCTTGCCACGGACGAAGCACCGATCACATATTCTAGAATCAAATTCCATCCTATTATAAAAGAACATAGTTCACCAACAGTCACATAGCTATAGACGTAAGCTGARCCAGCTTTAGGAACACGCGCCCCGAACTCGGCGTAACAYAATCCTGAGAATACTGATGCAACGGCCGCTATGAAGAACGAAATCACAACAGCTGGGCCAGCAGTAAATCGAGCRACTTCAGCCGCAACAACGTAAATACCAGCCCCTAGTGTGCTACCAATRCCAAGTCCTGTAAGATCYTTAATTGTCAAACAACGGGATAGTTGAGTTTGGGTAAGCTCGTCCGGGTCGATGTACTTCTTTCTCCACAGTCTGTTCATGACTCAGAAATATTGGTTCTAGAATCATTGATCGTGACTATTGATATCAATCTGGCTGGACGTTTAGATTTCTTAAAATTTACAAGGAAGTTACAATGTAGCTATTGGATTAGACAGCAATATATTTTAAAATATGTTTGGGACACGATCAACTGTTCTTTTGACGTAACAATCGTGACTCTGATTGGTCCGCTCTCGATCATAGATTCCAACATGTCGAAATGTTCGATTGCTGGCAAAAAAATAAGGAAATGATGACGCGAAATTGAAACCCTACTATAGTACAGCGGTATATGAATTGAATAGCCTTTTATACGACATTAGAAGGTGTCGGTAACATAGAGATATGTCCCCTGTGAAGTAGTGCGCAAAAAAATGTAATAAAAGGGCACAACGTTCGTAATATACGAAGTATTAACATATCCAGGTACAATATATGGACATTCAGTTATAACMGACACTTAATCAATCCCCGCTACAAATAAATTACTGAACGAACCTCTTTAAACCGGACACTCCATATTGCGSACGTACAGAGCTGTCGGTTAACRAGAGTTACCCCTTCACATACCYCTTCAGTAGACCCAGTGAGGTAAGYCCTCTCCCACCCTCCCTCAGGCAGTGAACATACCTACAGTAAGCATCATTGAGATGGGTAAATCCCTTGTTGGATTGATGGCTTCTTCAGCACTRGTAGCGATGACATCAAAACCAACAAAAGAGAAGAAACACGTGGCAGCACCRGCGATGACCCCTGAAAATCCATACGGCGCAAAGTTCCGTGTCCAGTTATGTTTATCAGCGAAGGAAAGCCCAACTAACACTGTAAAAACGATTACAATGAGGTTCAGTGTGGTAACAACGTTGTTGGTCTTCGATGTTGCAGTAATACCAATTACTAGTGGAATCGTCACGAGAATTACCAGGAAGAAAGCCAGGAAGTCAGGGTAGTGCGCGATTAGAGATCCAGCATTCATGGTACCAATGTGTGTCAATGTAAAGTTTTTAATCCGATCATCGATAATGGTATCAAGATATACAGTCCAACTTCGCGCCAAACTCGCTGWACCAATCAAATACTCCAGAAGCAGATTCCAGCCAATCACAAACGCGCAAAGTTCGCCAATCGTGACATAGCTGTACGCGTACGCTGAGCCAAGTTTTGGTACTCGTGAAGCGAACTCGGCATAGCATAGTGCTGAAAGTAGACTTGCAACTCCGGCCACAAAGAATGATATCACTATAGCAGGACCGGCCGTGTTTTTTGCTACAATTCCTGTAATTACGTAAACTCCTGCGCCTAGAGTTGCTGCAATTCCCAACGCTGTKAGGTCGACCTTGTTTAGCCGTCTTGCTAGCGGTGTCTCKGTAAATAAGAGAGCGTTGAATGGCTTCTTTCGACACAGAGTGTCAATGTGCTTTTCCATTGTTTGGTTTCAGGGTGAGTTGATTCTCTATCTGCGTGTACTAGACATATAAACCTAAAAATAAACAATATTTGATAGCCTTATGAAATGTAAATGAATAGGAGAACAACAAGAGAAATGAAACGAATGGATTKAATAAATGAACGAATGAGTGGGATAAAAGAGTGAGAGGATGAAACAAGTTCTGAGAAATATTTGACATCAAGTTAAATCAAACGTAAAAAGTAGAAAAAGGGAGATATATTCGTAGATATTCGATCAAAACACTACAGACACTACATGTACAATCGTAGAAACTCAAAAAATCACACAAGAAGCGTAGAGAGAAGGACAAGACGAATATATTATGAYATAGACAAAATATCAACGCTTGATGTATGCACGACTTGCGTTTTGTAACATAAATATTCGAATACTCGACGAATAGATTGCTGTCAGATGTATGCAGTTTAGTTAGAAACACATAAGAATAACTTATTAATATATTCCGCTTTCATGAAATTGGTGTTCAATAACATTGAGCTGAAAATTGGAAAAGAAGGATTCAAATAACGACTCATCGAATAAAAACTTTTATCGGACAAAAACAGGATGCACTGGCTTCATGGCAGCAAAATTTGACTGACCATTCATCATTTGGATACATAATTTATGTAGAAGTCAAAGATTTTTTCATGCCCAAGTAGTTTTCTAGTTTTCATTGTTGAAACACCCAAGTTATGAAGCGATGTATAACAAGGGAATTACTAAGCTAAAAAAATACGAAATAATTCGCCTGAAATTAAAAACACTTCCTCACTGAATAAATCATTGTTATCATGCTGACAGATAATGTTTTTTGATGTTAGAAAACCACCACAAAACAGATCAGTCGCCTGACTTCAGGTTGTCAACAACATCGAAGCAAGAAGTTGTTTGTGGACGAGAAACATAGCMATTGTTTATACTTACACTACTGCTTCTTTGAAAGAAAAACCACAGTATAATGAATATTCCGAGTCTATATTTCCGCCACTCCTTGCGTCCACGCAATGAAAGAAAAAAACATCTGTTTGAAACGACGAGAGGTCGCAGCCTCTGTACTAGCAAGCCGATTGATTACACAGGAAGCCCAAACACATGACATGCTGATTTTATGTATTTTATATTTTTTCGTAAAATAGACGCAAAGTAGAATAGTTTGCAGTAAAACGGAAAAAACACTAGAATAAAAAGTGCTAATTATTCCACAGTCTTACACAGCATAAAACATTAAAAAAAGACTTAAAAAATGGATAATTCTATTTTGTTGTGGGATTCCTGTGTTCAARTCAGACTGAGTACTAATCGATCTCTGATTGGACCGTTTCAACTGTTCGAAAAAAGGCGGCCATTTTATCYGCAAAACAACGGGACAAAATCAGAAGAAAAATACACTTTTACAGAAAGATAACAAACCCAAAACATTGTAATGGACGTGGAATTTATYATTCCTTTGTCAAGTGATGATTTGCTCAACGGAGAAGCAGGATGTTATGTTGTAGACGAAGTTTACTCCGTCAACTCTTTGCCCAARAAATTGGCGGGTAAGAGAAACGATAGTGTTTGGAGCTAATCCTTCATTGATTCTTGTAGTAAATCTATCTGTTCAAATCTGTAAATATTCTTGATATAACTTTTAACATATGAATTTCAGTGTGTAAGTTGCAGTATYGATAAGTCGTGCGATTTCCTAAAATAATTGATTTCCATCTTCAAATAGATTCTTGTGTAGATTTGAATACAGAAGGACCATGCTCTATTCTACGTACATTTGATGCTTTTTTCAGTCTAATAAGGTAAAGTATAAAATATAAATGCAATAAGCCATTTGGGATACAGAAGAAATCATAAGCAAGCATCCTTAAAATAATTAGATTACATTAAAATGCCAGTCTAACTGCGTACAGAACAGTTTTGTACGTGCAGTAATCAAGTCTAGKAATTGATTTATCAGACATCCTCTTATAACATACACTATTATAATTTAACTTTTCATACTGCCTGTTTGTATTTGTGTAAATAATAATAATCACATAAAACTTTGTTGTTTCTGCAGGCATTTCAATATCATAGACTCAAAACCAAGAGACGAGGCATTGCACACATTATTGAAAGGTGACCTTTGAAGTTCTTTTGTATTGATATATTGCTTAATGCCAATTTCTCCTGTATTAAATGTTAGGTTAACCATAATCACTGGTTTAAACTGGTAGCTCTCTAATCCACAGCTCTAAAGCAGCTGACTAATAATGTATCACCAATGGTTGAGCCTGGAGCTGACATYGATCAGGAAACAAGAAAACAACATCTTACGGCACTGAAAGTAAACTAATATTGTACTCTTTTGCAACTACATGTAGCTTTAATTTCATGGTCTTGAATTTTCAAGCTGTCTCTTCCTTTTCTATCTTTATTTTAACTATTATTCCTTCATTCCATATTTTCTTTTATTTCATAATTCCTTCATTTTTCTTCTCATTTTAACATTCACTTCTTTCTTTCTTCCTTCTTTTCCCTCTCTTTCTCCCCTTTTTCCCTTTCCTCTCACTTCCTAAACCTTCCTTGATTATTTCCTTTCAATTTTTCCTTCAATCTATCAACTTGCTTGCTTCCTCATGGCTTCCCTCCTTCCCTTGTCTCTTTCATTATCATTATGATGAGCTTGATGAGAGATGTTTTGTTTGCTGTTCTGGTAGATGATTAGTTATCTCATAGTCCAGTTGTCCAATCAATATGAAGCCGAGGCTACAAAACCAACCACACAGGTTACAACTGCAAAGGTATGATATGGTATAGATTAAACAACAATTTTCTAGATATTTCAATAGGGTATCATATCAAAATATTCTATCATAATAGTCTCCTCTACGGTTCTCTGCGCCATCTTGAAAGGTAGCCATGCCTTGTTGTCATCGAAGCAAGACAAGCCTTGAGCTTGCAATGATAGATACCTGTGAATAGCTGTCAGTAGGTGGGAAAGAAGGTTTCTATCATTACATGCTCAACGGTCGTCTAGTTTCAATAATGCAGGGAACTGTAAAGAAGACTATAATTATACATGTAGGAGTATTGTTACTCTTTAGGCCTGCTGTTTTAGGGYAACTGTTTCCATGATAGAGGGATTTTCATGCAAAAAACCTCTCTCATCATTGACTTAACAAATACCATTACATGTATCTCTAGGGACGTGGTAAATCCACTGCATCTTCTAAAAGAAAGACTCCTTCAAACTCATTTGACTGGGATGATGAGAGAAATAATGTCATTGAAGTCATAGGTCACATGGTACAACTAGACATTAACCGATTGTGGAACCCCCCCTTGGTAGAAGAGGAGTTTGTCAAGTAGGTTTTGTTRATATATCTGCAAAAACTCAAATCAGAATTCATAAGTGCATCATAAATTTATGATCTAATAAAATTGATTAACTACAGGGCCTGGYTGTTTAAAGCCCATTAGCGTTAATCCAGGGTTAACTCCATAGGTTTTCTTAGAGTTAACCCAAAGTAATCTAGCTTTGAACAACCTGGCCTAGGTATAATGCTCAAAATGTTTACTAGTATGTTTCTATCTACAGTTTGATCACTGGTTTCTGCTATAAGCTTCTTGAAAACCCAGCAGTGACAAGAAATAAAACAACTAAAGACTTGGTGTTCAATCTTTTGGCAACAGCCATCAAGAAATACAACACAGGACTTGGTAAGCTACAGCTGTTATATGTTATCTTTTACCAACAACCTTGAAGAGCAGAATAATTCTTACCATTGAAATATTAAGGAGAAAAAAAAAACATGGTACCAACATCCCTCAAATATCTATTAGTTTACACTCTGTGATTTCCTGGTAATTATTTCATTTCCTGGTAATTATTTCATTTCCTGGTAATTATTTCCAGGAACTACACTAAAGATTATTCAGATGATTCAGCACTTTGAACACTTGGTACCTCACTTAGCACAAGCACTTCAACTGATGGCAACAGACTTTGGTATTAAAAACATAATAGCAGAAATCATCAGGTATTATCTTGGGAATCCACAAACTGCAATGGGTCTAATATGAAATAACTTGTACATTGTGATATAACAGGGAGATTGGAATGATGAACCCATCAGATTTAGCTAAGGATACCAGTGGAACAAGAGCCTATGCCGACTTCATTGTTGACTTGACCAGTAGAATACCATCTCTTGTTCTCAATAATATCAGTATGTTGATGTGTCATTTGGATGGTGAGGTGTGTAACATATTCCATRATATATTACACTAGGACATTATTTTAGTAATTTTTTCAAGTACCAATATAATTTGTCTATTCCAGTCCTACTCCATGCGTAATGGTATCCTTGGTGCCATGGGAGAGATTGTACAGAAAGTCCTCAGTAAAGGAGAGCTAGATGACAATGTTAAGAACTTGAGAGATCAGTTTCTGGACAAATTAGAGGTACATTATTCATTA